GCGCCGGCCCCCCCCCCCCCGCCCCCGGCTCGCCTCTCCGAGCGCTGGCGATGCGCCCAGTGGTCGCCTCCTACATTACCCCTCTCCCATGGGTGCTCCTCCACAGCTTGTGGAGGCAGCAGCGCGTTGGGAGGAAAAGTGTTCCTGCTCTGCAGGATTAGGCTGGCCGGGGGATTTATGAGGTTGGAAATACAGCCCTAGAGAGACCATGTGGAGGGCTGACTGCACTTTGGGTCACGAGTAGCAACACAACCGCTGGCAAACCTTGTGTATCTCCCCTTTCATCTGGGAAAAACACTTTGAAACACAGAGTGCTTCAGAGAGTTGTGAAAGAGCATTTCTGCTATCCCTGGCAAGCTACGTGCCGGGGCTGACCAGGAGGGCTCTGCCCGGGGTAGCTGCCGTGCCCTGATGTTGGGTGGGTGGCAGCAGCCCTGTCCCCGCTGCTGCACCATCATCTCGCTGGGGCTTTCTGCCATCGCAGACATGGCCACAGACAGATAGCAGCTCTCAGAGCCGATGCAGCATTGAGCTCCTGCAGAGCATGCACGGGGCCAGCAAGGTGTAAAGATGTCCAGGGGAAACCTCGTTCCTGGTACTTTCCTAAGGGGAACTGCCACAAGGTTTTCTTGCCAGAGCTCTTTTGGGCAGCTTTCACCGGACTCCTTCTTGTTCCTCTAGCAATCAGGTTACACCACAAATGAGCAGCAACACACAGCAGCTCTCTGCTTGTTCATCCTGGTTGCTTTTGAACTGGGTCATCAAATCTGTTTGAACTTGGTTGGGGAGAAGACTCAAAATTCCCACAGGTGTCCCAAAAAATGGGTGTATCCTAAAGGAGAAATGCTGTCGCCCCGTGGGCTACAGTGGGGCATGCTTCCAAAGGAGCTGCTGCTTTGGCTTTTTATGGCTTCTTTAAGCTGAAACTGGGCTCCTAGCAGTACAGCAAAGAAAAGCTTTTCCCCGATTTTCCTTCCCTGTTAAAGCAGGAAGACTGATGCTTCCTTTTCCTTCCAGATCGACGGCAGTGGTGTGCAATTATCGTCCTCTTCGTCATCTTGCTGGTGGTGCTCATCCTGTTTTTTGTCCTGTGATGGACTGAACTTCCTCGGATGTCCCTTCCCCGCCCCTTCGCCCCCCATAGCATGGGGAAATGAAACTCTCACCATTTCCATCCGCCCACAGAGATCCCTCGCAAGAAAACCCGTGCCCAGCTCTCACCATGCTCCTCTGAGGACCGCAGCTTGGCTCCGCTGTCGTCTCACCTGGCCTCAGGGAGAGCGGGTGCAGGACTGGAGCTGCCTCCTCCCCCAGTGCAGTGCGATCTGGACCTGGACTCCAGATCCGGACCTAGGCAGCTGGAGGGGGACTTGACCCCTGCGCTTCCTCCCCATGCAGGTAGGAGCTGGTCGCAGCAGTCCCGAGCTGCTTGCGGACACAGAGGAGCGAGCCCTGGTGAGGACTGAATGGGGGGGCGGGGGGGCGGAATTAATTCACGGAGCATTACAAACCACATCGCCAGCCAGCGGGTGCTTGCCAACCCAAAGCATTACTGGGAGGAGCGGTGGCGTGAAACCCCACGCAGCCACAGCGAGGGAGCGGAGCCCTGGCCAAACTCCCTGTGCCCCACGCTGCCTTCCTCCCCTGGGCTGGCTCCGTGCCGCCAACTTACCGCCCAGATACCACGGTGAGTCTGCAGCAGAGCACCCACATCCACCACCCCTTGGCAGAAGCTTACATGCAGGCGAGCCGTAGGGTGTAGTGTCCTGCCGTCGGCCGGCCGGCCGCAATTGGAAACTCTGGAGCTTTAAACTTGGGTTGATGCGCGCTGAAAGCTGGTGGCCAGAAAGCGAGTTTCTTAAAGCTTTTAAAATTGCCTCCTTTGTTATACAAGCCTCCAAAGCTCATTGACTGATGCTTTCTTTGCCCTTGTATAACTGAGTAACTGCTTCTGTTTAACAGCTGCTTCCCTTTGGCAAGTGATTTGTCAGGTCTAAAATAACTTATTTTTTTTAAGGAAAAAAAAAAAAACTTTAAAGATTTTTTTGATGACTGTTTGAGCCGCCTTCTCTCTGCGGGTGCATGACACTCATTATCAGAGGAATGGGGCTCATTTATGTATTTTAAGTGCATATGAACTTGTAAATAGGATGTCTTGATTTTTCCCAACCGCCATTTTTTTGGCCACCTCCGTTGTAAGCAACCAAAAGGCAGGAGATTCAAAGCTAGGTCACATTTCTGTGTTATTCCCCAGTCCTGTTTTTACCTTTGAGTTGTTTGTCACTCGAGTTGGCTCAGCAGTGTCAGATAGCCCAGTTGTCTCCCTCATACAGTGAATTAGGAGCTAACCAGGTGGTTGATACCAAAATGTGGTGAAGAAAGCTCACCCTGGCAGCATCACTGGGCAAAAAAGCAGATGGGGGTGGGGGGAGTGTGTCTCATGCTGCAGACACAGACTGCAGGATACGGGGTGAATCTTCAGGAAAGCAAAAACCAATTTCTTACTAAAGTCTGCTCCCATATTGAAGTTGCAAACACTAAAAGATTTGGGACAGGCTGGCTTACGCCTCCCATCTGGGTCTCAGATGGGGGTGGGGGAGGAAGTTCATTGGTGCTGACAGTAAAACTTCTGCTGAAATTGCAAATCACCCCCAAAAATCATCCTCCCCGGGCAGGAAGCTCACCACCGGACAGCTTTACCTCCGGGATGCTTAGCCTGGACTGAAAACTCTTCCCCGCTGGGTTTGTGCCTCCCTTCAAGCGGCTGCATGACCCCCGTGCCCCGTCCCCCCTCGCAGGCGCTGGGAGCCGGTGGCACCGTGCCTTCCGCAGCGGGTGCGGGACAGGGGAATGAGACCGAGCTGCCCCTCCACCCCTGGGTGGGTGCTCTCGTCATTAACGCACACGTGCCCTTAGCACCAACCTGCACTAATTATTTCATGGGTTGCTCTTGATCCTTGCAGAGCACCACATTTCTTTTGGTTACGTTGTGAGAAACGCATGGTGTCTCCTTTCCAAGGCTGGCTATTGCAGCGTCTGCGCGGCTCCTTGGGCTTAATACCTCTCCAAGAGCAGGTTCCCGGGAGCGTGAGTCCAAGCAGGGAGCGGGGCTCACCGTTGGCCGGTATTTGCACACCTCCGATCCCCGTGTTATTTTTGGTGTGGTTGCGCATCCTCTGGGAATGACTCCCAGCACTCCACGCGGGACCGCTCCTTCATTAGTCTGGTGTACTTGCCGGAGGGTGGCCCAGCTGCTGGCATCACTGCAAGCCACCAAACTGTCTCCAGTCCCTTTTCCTGTGTACATTTGCTTTTTCTGTTGTTGGTGGTGCCCCTCCCTTTAACACTAAATAAATGTATTGCTGCTGTGCCACGCTGGGCAGCAGCAGAGATCACCGGGCGTTTTCACAGTGACCCTTGCTCGGGGACAAGTGGGGGTGGGGGTGGTGTCTCCTGGCACCAGGTAGCAGGAAGAGCTCCCACCAGTATCTGCTGGGCAGCACCCTCTTGGCTTTTAAGGCATACACAGCAGCTGAAGTTTCTGGGGTCACCTCTGCGCCGGGCTGCCAGCATGCAGAGGGCAACCACTGCTGCCGTGACTCCTCCACTTGCCAGCCTCAGCGCCTGCTGGAGAGACTTGTCCCTGTGCAGCCACCCCAGTGCCACAGCATGCGTTTCCCCTTCAGTGGCTGGAAAAAGGAAAAACCCCAAAAGCAGCAGCAGGAGTGCAGCCCCCTCTGTGGTCAGTTATGGATACTTGAAGTGCATCCCCCCCACTGCTGTCCTGGCAGTGTTTGCAGGAAAAGGAGAGCAGCTCCGTCACCCTGCGCTCCACCCGGCACCGTGCTGCTCACCAGAGCAAGGAATGGGGGATGTTCTGCTCTTACAGGAGCACTGCAGGTGACTGAGCCCCCCGCCCAGCTGCCTGCCCTGGGCCTCCCCCCCCACACCACAACATGGTCAGGGCTGG